AACATACAGATTCTCATACAAATGCCCATATTTTTCCAGTAGACTAATAGACATGCCTATAAAATTTAAGAGTTGGGAAAGGCTTCACAAGTTCATATAGCTGTGTATTATCAGCCTAGCAATGAAAATAACACTGTATTCACCAAGGGGAAGCATATACTGTAGATAGATAAAAGCACAGGGCCAAGGACTGATCCCTGGGGTACACCAAACAATTGTAACTAACACGTTGAGTTCTATTTGATAAATATATAGTCAAGCCATCTCAGCTCCATCCCCTGGATACCAATATGCTTTTCCAAGTGGCTTAAAAGTATACTGTGGTCCACGGTGTCAAACGCTGCATTCGAGTCAAGAAGCAACAACAATGATGTTAAGTCAGAATCAACAGTAATTAGTAGATCATTGACTACTCTGGTCAAGGAAGTTTGAGTAGAATGGGGGGATTGAAAGCCATGTTGAAATGTGTCAAAAAAGATTGTTGTTGGATAAGTTCCTTAAAAAAATAGACTGTATAGGGTCAAATATACATGTTGTAGGATTGGAAGCAGTTACAAGGCTGGTAAAGGTGTCAGGGGACATTTTTCGAAACTGTGAGTATTAATGTTAGAGAAATGTGCTGTCCTAGCAGCTGAGAGTGCACCTTTATGCTTCTTAAAACTCTCAACCCAGGCAAGGCGAAAACTTGCCAAAAAGTGCTAAAACTTGGCATACTTCTTGAAACGCAACCTCAACATTGTGGTGAGCTGTAGGGTAAAACTTTAAAATGTTATAACCTTGCTGGAAGGTGGATACAAATGAGAGGACAAAAGAGGATATTACTGCAAAAAAGATTGGTCAGCCAATTGATTAACAATAACAGAAACAGAAAATTAACCATCTGCTATTTTGATAATGTCTTAAATGTTTAAGTCATTTATTAAGCAGAAATGCCAAATGTTCTCTGGTTTCAGCTTCTGAAATGTGAAGATTTGCTGCTTTTCATTGTCGTATATGATAGTACACTGAATATGTTTGGGTTTTGGACTGATAGTCAGATCATTCAAAAATTAATCGAGAGAATAGGGCAGACAAATGGATAATAAAAATAATAAGTTGTAGCCTTACTTGCTTTATAAAAATTTCAACCAAATTTTGCTATGTGTGGTAGCCATAGTTTTTTTAATTTATTTTTTTAGGATTTTCTCCTTGATTCAAAGTAATAAACTTTCCAGAAGCAAATATCTTTTATGGATCCTCCACACTGTCTCTGTCCATGGTGGTGACACATTCACTCTCTGTCTGTCTGTGCTGAAACAGTGAAACCTTGTCTTTCTTTGTGTCCATCTCCATGGCAATGAAACACTCAGACTAAGTCCATTGTACTGTTTGTCTGTGTCTCTCCCTTTATATCATTTTCAGATCAAGTGAACACAGACAAACACATCAAAAGCAAAGGAATGCACATTAAAAGTGGCCTTTCACTTAATCTGGAGATTTTATTCTCCCTCTGACATGCCTCAATAAAAAAGAAGGAAACCCATCTTACATGTATCCTAACTGACTGATATTCTACAGTTTTCATCTGTCAATCATCAGTGGCAACTGATGATTGACTGCTAGTGGAATGTATGTACTGTAAATGTAAAAGACACCTGGCTGTACCAAGGGCCGTTGTTAGCAGGACTGCTGTAAAGTGGATAACAAAGCTGTCACTGGCTCAAATCCAGGCAGCCATTGTCTTCTGATTGCCAACCAAACCGACAATGCGGCAGTGATTTTATGCTACTAGGATAATCCTAAAAGTCTCTCTATAAATAAACGCTGTAGCAGCACTGGAGAGAGCCGCTCTGAAACATCGACTCAAAATAAACAAACATTCCAGACTGGTGGTGAAACAATCTTTCCTTGGTCAATAATCATAAAATAAGTAGTTTCTGAGGGCAATCACACAAGAAGACTGACTAAACCAGAAGGCTAAAGCAAGAACGAGTGAGAAAATAGCACACAGGCATGGAGGCAAAACAGGGAAAGGCCTAGGGGTGGGAATCTCTGGGCACCTCACGATTCGATTACGATTCAGAGGCCTGCGATTCGATTATAAAACGATTATTAATTACTAAGCATTTAATTTGCGCGTTGCATTTACTTTATTAACCTCAGCTCTATGGTCCTTAATTTCTTTAACATCCAGACTCCTCTGAAAATGGACATATAAAGTTAATTATCAGGATATAGCCTACAGTATATGTACAGGACATAGCTGTACACCAGGTTAGTCTAAGCTTGTACCAGATGTTTTCAACCCTTGACTAGTAGGTTAGTTAGTAATGACTTACAGCTGCTAATTAATATTACTTTGATACTAATTTAGCTAATGTTACACAAATAAATAGATATTTTAGCGCCTTTCACAGGACCCAGGGACGCGTTACACATAGTTACACATAGAACAACAAAAAGTCATTCAGGATTGAATGCCTTGGTAAAGAGCTGGGTTTTAGTAGATTTTTTAAAGTGTCCAGACAGGGAGCATTGGATCTCTGTGGGGATGAGTTCCAGAGGGTGGGGGTTGTGACGCTGAAGGCTCTGTCCCTAAAGTCCAGAGTCTGGGTGACAGAGAGCAAGCCCTTGTACAGGGGAGACGTTAGCTTAGGAGCGCTAACACTATCACTTTTCCAGACTATCCTGATCGTTATTTCTGCCCCGTTAATTACGTCATTGCCGTAGGACAATCAGTTTTTTCTATCAGCGCAGTGCATGATGGTATATATGGCTTGGTTAGTGACCATCGGTTGTACACTACTTTTCAAAATGCATTCTGGGATACATTGAGTGGACTATATAGGGTATAATAATTATCACTATACATTCGGACAGCACAGCAAAATGGCGTAGTGGGTGATTTCAGACAGCCACAGTGATCTACACTGCATGTTTACTACCAGACTGAAACTTACTGCTAATATATTCCTCTGCTAACTTTCACCGTTATGTTCTGCCGCTCTCTCTCTCTCATTCATTCGGTCTCACACACAGGATGCGCAGTGTGCGAGTTAAAATTATCACTTGCGCATTGATATTAATGATTGTGTAACATTGTAGTGGGGTGGTTATTCATTCCACAGCTGTGGTGTGTCAGATACAGGGGAACACTGGTCTCTCTGTTGTGCACGCTCCGCAGGCGGTCCGGGCGCTGCACTTCTGTGAGTTCCGCCTTTTGCGTCCCGTCAACATTACGTTATCAATTAACTATTAATAATCAATTTTAAGACATTTGTTAATCGATTTGTAATCTTCCAAATTATTCCTAATATTTCCTTAAAAGAACTATGGGAAGGGAAAAAAATTAATTTGGGTAAATCTCCTGGACCAGGTTTATATAACTTTTGGTCTGAATTAGGTCCCATGCTTTTGGAAATGGATAAATAGATCTATTAGAAGAGGCTATTTTTTAAAGCAAACAAATACAGCATTAACATCTTTGCTTCTCAAAAAATATAAAGATCCAATATCATGTGCTAGTTACCGGCCTATATCATTAATTGATGTTGATATGAAGATATATGCCAAAGTATTAATGAGCCGTTTAAACAAATACCTTGGGAAACTAATATGAGAAGATTATTACAGACCTTAATTTCACCTCTAAATCCTCAATTTTTTTGACGTCATTCGGAATTTTAACGCTTGGCGCAGAAAAGGCTTCTGATGGACTTGAATGGGATTATCTCTGGGCCTTATTAGGTCACATGGGTCTTGGTGAACAATTTATTAGGTATATTAAAGTTCTTTATGCAAACCCATGCGCAATGGTGTTATCAGGCAATGTTTGCTCTTCACATTTCACAATTTACAGAGGTTGTCTCCAGGGATGCCCTCTGTCCCCTCTATTATTTGTTTATCCCTTAAGCCTCTTGCTGAAAAAGTACGTCAATCCACAAATATTTTACTTTCATAATAAATTCTACCCGCAACACTGTACGCAGGATAAGCGGTTAACGATGGATGGATGGATGGATGGAATAAATTCTACTATTCACCATACATCAATTTATATAGATGATGTGCTTCTTTTTATTAGTAAACTTTCACAGTTGTTTCCTTATATTCTTAAATTTTCAGACTTCAGTAGGATTTAAAATCTTGGTTAGACCCCACAAATTATGCTTGTTGGCGCGCTCTGGAAGAAAAACTAGTTTACCCACACAGATTACAAGATTACTAATTTATGCAGAAGTTCCATTTAAACAAGCCAAAATGTGTTTTGGGCCTATTATTTCTAATCTCTTACTAATTTGGAAACTAGTGACCAACAATACTCACTTCGAAAAATAATCATTACTCCAGTATTTCATATTCCACAGTTTATTGCTGGGTGGTCGGACAGTGGCCTACCCAGTGTGGTCGAACAATGGAATTTATTTACTTGGACAGTTATTCAACACTAATGGTCTCCCTACATTTCAAGATTTGAAGGAAAACTATAATTTACCTGGATTTCCTTTTTAAAAAAATATATTTGCAGCTTCGTTCTGCCTTAAAGGCATATGGAGTTCTATGGGACTCTAAACTCCCGAAACATGACTTTACAAATCAACTGTACAGCGCTACTACCAAGGGAACTGTATCAACAATGTATTCTCAAATAATGCAAAGTTTCTATCAACCATTTGCAACGCAAACAACCTGGCAAAATGATTATAGCTCCATTTCCCCTGAAATAGCTTGGAAAACTATTTGGAATAATATTAATCAAGCTTTAAAAAATCCCAATTACCGATCCATTCACTTAAGATTCGTATATAGAACTTAACTTAATTCCCAGAATTAGACATTTGATTAAGTTAGGATCATGTTAGCTTGCACTCTGACAAAGACTCCAATTGTGTGGGATGGAATTGATCTTGAAAATAAGACTAAAATATTTACAACTAAAATCCAAGTGAAAGAAGTACATTATGACATCCGTTGATCTTTCTATTTATTCTTTTATTCTGTTTCCACTCTTCTTCACACAGCAACCAAACAGTGCTTCACCAGTTCTGCTGCCCTGCCCCAGAGGCCCCTGAGGGGGAGACTTCTACTGCCTGTGTCCCCAGGTAAGATGACTGCATCCTTGTAACATCTGCACAAATATATTTTATTTAGTTATTAATTTACTTTGAACAATTCAGTTTTTATTTTCTTGCAGCCACTTATCATGCATTATGTTAAAAGCGGTGCTGCAGTAGCTACTTTAGACAACACAACTACCCCAGCAGTGTTATCTAAGTTGAAGTGGTTGTAAATGCTTCAGATTCTTCCAGGGACAATCTTGATTTCTTACCCACCATCATAACAATGAGACAATAAGAGGGAGACTTCGGTCACGTCAGCTTAGGTTTTGGGTCTTGTTGAGCCTTCGAGATTGTTTCCTGAGTGAATCTAAGACACATTGGATGTGATTTGTTGTTTCGACAGAGTGTTAGTACCCGTGTCGAGATAAATCCGCTGGAATACAGTAGTAATATTCAAATCACTCACATCAAGATCCCATTTCCTGGACAATGGTCAAGTCCTTGGGGGAGCTTCCTGCAGGAAAAGTAATAATTGAAAATAAATTACATTGAGTTTACGAAGCAAAGCATTGTTGATAATGCCGTTATCTTTTTATGTCAGATTGGCACATGACATTGATAGAGCTGATGCTGCCAGCTGGAACTCCAACTGCAAGTACTTGTATATGAATTCCAAATAGTCACTTTTATTTCAATAAAAGTTTTTTAAGTCAGCCAGTTTAAAAGCTCTAATGTTAGTTTGATGTGGTTATTTGCACCCACTGTCCTGGGGAATGTGAAAAATTGAACAAGTAATAATTAGCTGCTGTAATACATGTACCTTTGTGTGACGGCTTTGAGGGAGTATAATAATTGATATTTAGTGTTGAATAGCCTGTCTACAAAATATAGAATTAGATAAGCAAGAACACAATAATTTATGCCTTTGACGAGGTATAATCTCACCCATTTTAAATACAACTGGCTCACAAAATGTTATGTTTGCCTTCAGGTTTTATTGGCCCAAGCACTCTCTACCACCAGAGTTTCATAGAAAATAAAGGCTTTCATCTGCCCAAGGGGCTTCGGTAGTAATTAAGCCATCCACCCCAAAATAGTTTGTTTGTTGTGGACTCCACATTCTATAGGATTGCTTTGCTGCATTGTCTGAGCTTGGCAGAAAATAGTGGATAAGCAAACGTATATTGATGGCTAATCATAACCCCTATAGTGCTGGAAATATTAAGTGGTAGAAGGCTGCAGGCCAACAAGCACAGACAAAAATCACACTTTAAACATCTTAGAGGCATGTGTTGTATTAAATCAGCCATATGGATTGACTGAGGGACAAAGAAATGTATGGAGAGCATTGAACTCGTTGACTTTGTTTACCAATGGAGTTTAGCAATTCATAAAGCCATTTATCAGAAAAATTATCAGACGGTGACTGACTGAAAACCCAAGGTTCTTACCGTATCTGTTGTCACACAAGACACTTTCTGTTAAATACATGTGGAGATTCCAGATGCAGTGGTTATAAGTGAACACAAGTGACTTTCATGAAATCAAAGCTGGAGGGGAAATTGGAATGGGAGACAAAAAAAAAAGAAGGCAAGAATCGATCGGAGTTCAGCAGCTTGAACTTTGCTTGATAGCAGCCGTTTGGTGCTGTTGTGTTTTGTGATTGCTTTGTGCTTAGGGACCATTAGCTAAAGGTACAAACAAAGTGCACAACAGAAGGTCCTTGCTAACTTGTGAACCCCTCCAACTCCTCGACACACACCCCCTGCCAATCTCTGAAGCAAACCACTTCAAAGGAGGACTCTCTGGGGCCAAGACAGAAAGCAGCTTGTGGTTTTGTCCTCCTTTTTTTGTGTTTGTTGCGTCTTATCTCTTTTTGAAAGCTGTATTCTGTTGTTGTTGATTTCTGTATTTCCGCATTGTTGCATTGTTGTCAGTGATTTGTTGATCATTTACTCACGTGGCATCACCACATCACATCACAGCGACATAACTCCACATAGCACCCACACCTCATTGCATCCATCATCATTCATGTTCACTTCATTCGGGCTTGTCTCTCCACTGTGGTCACATTAAGTTTGAAAGAGTCATGTATGAATTTTACCATGTAACAAAAGTGTAATATATGAATTGTAAAAACTACCATAATGCATTGATGTGTGTACTGTAGGGTCTTTCCCATGCTGGAAACTGGTGAGCCTTCTTGTTGACACATATAATGCATCTGTGTTCATGTGAAAAAAAAAAGTTCTTATCATGTTGCATGCTTTGGCTTGGCAGTGGTCAGAACATAGCTCGCTGTCTATCTGTGAGTGAGTGTGTGTTAATGTACATGCCAGTGTGTCACTATGGTACACATGGCATACGTTCCATAATTGACGTCCTCCAGGAAAACACACAACACTGTGCACAACACCAGATCAACAGGGAAATCCATAATGATAGACTGGCTAAAAGGGATGAGTGAGTCAAATCACCTTTACTGAACCTCTCTTTATTTACAGGTTTTTAGCAGACATGTTTTAGCCAGACATGCCATATAAAAAATATACATATATTGATAGTGCTACACAATTACATTCTCTAAAGTTTGGCCCTACAGTTTCCATAAAGCTTTGGGAGATGTAAACAGGAAGTTTGCTTTGGATTCAGTAGGCCTTTCTCATTTCTTGGTTTGCACATCCTCGATTCCTTTCCTGGCCCCGTGTCTTAGTCCCTCCCACCTGAGACACAAGGAGAGAGGAGTCGAGGCAACGGGCATTTAACCAAATGATGTTGGCACTTGTAAACATCATGCCACGATTATAGCAGTTGAATTGGATGATGCTAAATACATAAATATCAAGGTTAAATGTCATTAAGGAATGGTGAAGGGCAGATCCAACTACAAAAGGAACACTTACATTTGTATGCTTCTGCCATGGTTGGTATATGTGTCTTGCCTCTTTTATACGTCACAGGTGCTGAAAAGACTTCCGCAGAGGATATGCATGGTGCATCCTCGCTCATAGCTCCTCCGGCAAGCCTCCTCTCTCCGAGGAGACACAAAACAGAGAAATGAGAAGAGCCTAGTGAGTTCCACCGTGGGCTACAACTTGAGCTCTGTTTTTTGTTTTAGCCTATATTTATATACCTTTCAGGAAATTGGCACCAATAAAAGTAGGCTAAATTAACAATTAAAAGCTCCTGTATGCAATGCACCCATGGATATTCAGACAACCATCACTGGATTACTTTGATAAAGAAGAAAACTTAACATAATGTGTCTCAGGCAAGTTCTGAAATTATATTGATCGTCTTTTTTCCTATGATTTCCAAATAGATTAATGTGCTTTTTCTCACAAAGGTCATTAGTGATAACGATGTCATCGGAATGTTTGAGTCACGCTGAATCTAAAATCACATGCGTCATGTCCATGTTTTCAGATTTGACTAACTTTTTTAAGCGATTTTTGATTTTTTGTAAACTGCAAATTACTCATATCTTGCAAAAATATACAAAAGCTTCTTGTAAAAATAAAAGTGAGTGGATTCTGTTGTCTTGCATGCCACCAAACAAGGCCTGACATAACATAACATAACATATAAAAAGGACAACTCATTGCCTCTTCGTGCACTGCCTCCACTTCAGGATGTAATGAAGCCTTGTTTCACGCACTGAACCATACAGACAAAGTGCAATCATTGATATTTCATTTGTGGCGCTCTTTCTACTGAGAGTAATTCAAGCCTCTGTGTCAGAGGGGTCAGCTCATACAAGGACTCCTTGTACTAATTTGAAGCCAAACTTGCTATTAGTTTGTCTCTGTCTTCACCTGGGGAGCTTCATCCGATCAGTTAGGAAGCTGGAAAAAAGCAGGTAATAAAACAGTGTATGTGGGATCATTTAAATGAGGAGAAAGTAGGAAGCTGAGAACTGAAAAGAGAAGTGAAGATTTCGCTGTCACATATAATGAGGACCCTACGGAGGCTGGAAACTCACCCTGACAGTACGGTCACTCTTGCCAGGCTTTAAGGAGGCACCAGAGGGTTTAGAAAATGTAGGGGATTTGTATTCATGGTCACTAAGTCAGATCTATAATCACTCATGGAAGGGGCTGATTGTGTGGGATGGCCCCAGCCTTTCAATTACTAGTGTGAGCCATCTTTTGCTGCTGTGTGCTAAAGTTGCACTCAGGAGGATTGTTGTTACTTTTACAGTTCCATAGGGGACCTTAAGTTTAACTTTCTGCTTTGCTGCAAAACTGAGAACTGCTGTGGTCAACACACAGGGCCCCGGAAACCTCATAAATGGAAGGAATACAGTATTAGAATATTCTAGCATGGAGACTGGCACAGCAGAAGACCTATAAATAATGACACTTGCCTGGTGGACAAGACCCAGGTAGAATTGTTACTTTTTAAATCGCTGCTGTGTGTTTATGTGTGGATGCAAGAGTCCTCTTTTAGAACAAAATAAAGCCTTTCCAACTTTTAGGGTGAACAGGAGTGCAATGACTGAACTGTATTGGAATATTTATATCTTTCACATGCACGTGCACGAGATCTCTGACTTCGACTGCCAGAGTTTCCGAGTAACAAACTGTGTATACTAAAGGCTTGATTTGAATTGTAGCATGAGGAAGACATTGCAAGAAACAGGATCTGCTCTGATAGAGCACGAAACTGAAGAAATGCCCCGTACAAAGGGCATATTACTACCATATGGACTGGGAGGACGTTGTATTATTCTTTTGCACATGCAGGTCACTTTCAGGCTGTGGCCAGTTCACAGTGGAGTCTGATAAGGGCCACAGTTGAACAATAACGTGAACATTCAGTCAAAAAAATCGGATCTGGACAATAAATCAGAAATGAGCATTATGGCCTGCAGTGTGATCATAGCCTTAATAGCACCGTTGCTTGTCCGGCCGGGTAGCAAGTTGGCTCATCAGCTACAGGAGTTCAACAACTACAACTCTGACGTGTGGAAAGGAATAGCTTCAGCAATTTAATCTCTTGTGCCACCTGCCATTAAATACTTTCTTCAAGGTGAGGGA